GATGAGGGACCACTTCTCAACTCATTCTATGAGGCCAGTATTACCCTGATGACAAAACCAGACAAAGATAACACAAGGAAAGAATAGTACATACCAATTTTCCTTATGAATATAGATGTAAAAATCCTCAACAATATATTAGCAAACTGACTCCAGCAACAAATAAAAAGGATTATACACCATGGTCAGGTGGGATTTAGCCTATCCTGGGAATGCGATGTTGGTACAACATATGAAAATCAATCAATACAATACATCATATAATGGAATAAAGAACAAAACCACAGAACCATCTCAATAAATGCAGAAAAATCATTTTACAGAATCCAACACCTTTTCATGATAAAATCACTCAACAAATTAAGAATAATATGGGATATCCTCAACCTGATAAAGGGCACTATAAATCCCCATAGCCAATTTCATATTTAATGGTGAAAGACTGAAAGCTTTCCCCCTCAGATTAGTAAAAAAACAAGGACGTCTGCTTTCACTGCTTCTATTTAACACTGTACTGAAGGTTCTGTCCAGAGAAATTAGGCAAGAAAAAGAAATAAAATTATGTAGATTGGAAAATGAAGAAATAAAGCTACCTATATTGGCAGATGACCATGATCTTGCATATAGAAAATCCTAAGGAATACACACACACACACACACACACTACTGAAATTAATAAACAAGTTCAGCAACTTTGAAGGATATAAGATAAATATATAAAAATCAATAGTATTTCTATACACTAGCATTGAACAAATGAAAATTAAGAGAACAATTCCATTTATGATAGCATCAAAAGAAATAAAATACTTGACAATAAACTTAAAAGAAATGGGAGAATTGTATACTGAACACTGCAAAACATCACTGAAAGAAATTTAAAGAAGACCTAAGTAAATAAAACATATTCATGGATTGGAGGACTTAATATTGTTAAAGTGGTGATACCCCAAATTAGTCTACAAATTCAATGCAATTTCTATCAAAATTACAGCTGGCTTTTTGCAGAAATTGGCAAACTGAACCTAAAAATTATATAAAAATGCAAGAGACACAGAATAGTCAAAACAATCTTGAAAAAGAAGAATGAAGTTGAAGGACTCACACTTCCTGATTTTAAGATGTATTCTGAGTTAGACAGTAGATATTTAAATATTTTGATACATTAAATACGTAAATGCTATTTTTATTTAGTATGCGCCAGAAGAAATTATTAGAAATTGTCTTAGATTCCATCACAACTTTCTCAAGTCAAACTTTTAATTATTCAAATATCTCCTTCCTACATTTACATTTAAGTGAGTGTGATTTTTTAAAAATAGCTTATGTGTTTGAGTTTGGAAGATTAGTTGATATTAAAATTTAGTTTTCTTTCATCAGTGAGTACTTCTGTTTGCTTTACAGATATTTCATTCAAATGGCCAGCTAATGTATCTAATAGTACATTCCAGAAGGTAATTCCTTTTATAAAAATTTCTAATAATAACCACAAACCATTGATATTAACCATTTATTATTGTTAGCTTAAATTTTTGATATAATACTTTTGGAAATATGATTTAAAGTTCTAAAAGTACTAGTTAAAATCTAATACTTATTTCACAAATTTTTCTCTTTAACAATTACTGTTTAATTTCTCTCTACTTTTACCCTTCAAGTTAAGAACAAAGCAACCCTCAAATCATCATGAAGTTTAAAAAACACACTCTCGTTAAAAAAAATTAATGAGAATATTTGAAACTTAAAAGTATGGATTTAATATTTTAATCTTAGGACTGCTTATATTCAAATTTCTTTAAAATGATTTTTATCTTTACTTCGGTGATGTTTAAAGTATTTGCTTATATTTTACTAGCAAGGAGTTAAAACTGCTATTTGATTTCCTGAGTACCATTCTAACTATTCTCTTTCTACATTTAAAATGAAAAAAATATATTTTAACTATCATGATTTAGGTCTGGCAATTAATTATGTAGGTAGTCATATGAATCCTTCAGAATGGAGAATATACCTTTCTTGACAGGGATAAAATGGTTTCTAGGTGATCATTTTTTATGTCATTAACTTCTTCCAAGCAGGTATAATATAATAGATTTTTTTTCTGATAAGTTTGGTAGCTTAGGGCAGTAATCTATAATATAATATGCAAGGCCATCCTTCTAGGCCACCCTCTTGATTGTAACTTTAAATCCTTTATTGCAACCTAATAACATTTCAAAAAGTTCTATACACAGATATTTTTCTCCAGTATTTAAGGCTATGGGTAATTTATTAAATATATCTCTTTAAATTTTTTCACATGATTGATAATCTTGACAAAAACATTGAGTATTAATTTTCCTTCCAATTTCTAAATTGTATAAGCATCTCTCTTTGCTGGTAATTATCTCTAAAGGGAGACAAAGTTCTCCCTTTTAAAGGTTCTAATAATAATTAAAAAACTTAAATATAAGTATGTTTCACCTATGATATCTATGTACCCAAGGCAAGGCTGACATTTTAGATCTAAATTATCTTAAAAGTTGTTCACCTCTCCAATTCCACTAAAAACTTAAATATAAGTATGTTTCACCTATGATATCTATGTACCGAAGGCAAGGCTGACATTTTAGATCTAAATTATCTTAAAAGTTGTTCACCTCTCCAATTCCACTTAGTCATATAAGATGATGGATTCTGGAGCTACACTATAACAGTTCAAATTCTGGCTCTGCCATTTCACCTGGTATGTGATTTTGGGCAGATTAGTTAAACTCTCTGTGCCTCACTTTCTTCATCTATAAAATATGGCTAATATGAGTGCCCATCTGATAGGGTTGTTTGGGGGATAAAATGAGTTTATATATGTAAAGTGTTTGGAATAATATTTGTCACATAGTGGCATATAAATGTTAATATTATTTAGATTTTATTTTCTCTTGGATTGCAAAAAAACTGAAAAGAGTTGATTCTCAACATTTTCTATGTCAACATGTAAGAATAAATAATAAACAAAATACAGTTTAAATTTTGTTCTGAATGCTTTAACTTGATTCTAACTAGAACCTGGTTACTACATTAGAAACAACTTTATCCTTGGTTTTCCCAACTATATTAGAAACAACTTTATCCTTGGTTTTCCCAGAAAATTTCTTTTCCATTTATGTCTAAAATAATATTCTTCCTTTCAATTCTTTTCAGTATATATTTAAAATTATTTTTCATTTAATGTTCTTGCATATTGTATCTTCTCAGATTTACCTTAATACTACATTAGAAACAACTTTATCCTTGGTTTTCCCAGAAAATTTCTTTTCCATTTATGTCTAAAATAATATTCTTCCTTTCAATTCTTTTCAGTAGATATTTAAAATTATTTTTCATTTAATGTTCTTGCATATTGTATCTTCTCAGATTTACCTTAAATGTGAAAGAAAATTCTAAGGTGTTATTATTATTACTGCCATTGATATATATAATTTAGAGAAATTAATAGAAATAGAATAAGAGTAAATTTAATTAAATAGTGCTTAGCATGTATTATATTCTCATCTCTCAGAATTCTGTGTTCAGTTTCAGACATGTTTGTGGCTAAATATGATCTGAAAATAATAGGCTTCTTTAGGTAGAAACATAATCATTTGAGTGGTTTAATTTATTTATTCAACTGGCATTTATTGAATGGCCACTATAATCCATGCTTCTTTCAAAAATAATTTTTACTAATACTTTCTATCACTATCAGAATCTGAGATTACTGACAATTTAAAAATAATTCATTTATTATGAATTATAAATTACAATTAATTAAAATAATTAGATAATTAAATGGAATAAAATGATATTTAAAGGGAGGAAATCCTATAGGTAGCAAGATAAGTGGTAGTCCATTCAATATACTAATTGTGACCAATAAACTGGTGTCTCAGCGGTGCCAGATCTTTCTTACTATATCAGGGTCACCACAACAGCTATGCACTGGTGGAGTCCATTTTATACATAAGTCTCTTCCCTTTACCCTGTATGAGTAGACAAGACCTAAGGCACCCTTTTCTCACAGATTAAAATGATTTAAATCAGTATTTCTTGTTTTCCACAAAATCAGCTGGTCAAGAAATATGACACCTGGGATACAAAGGGTGAATGTAGTAACAGACAAACTCATTATAAAATATAGATTACAACTATCTAGCTAAATAAGTTCAGCTTAAGGGCTTTAAGAAAATCCTATGTTTTTACTAAATCACTTGATTTTTGTCTTGATACTATCCTAATAATAGCCAACTAGAGTAACAAGTCCTGTGACCTTCTGAGCTTGTTTCCTCATCTGTAAAACCCCATTCATTTCCTCTTCAGTTCTAAGAATCTGTGATTTTAATACTATTTGCCTTCTTTCTAGATTTAATGTGGGTTCACACTGTAAATGACTTAACAAGATACCTCTTTCTGTAACTGTATTACTATTTGCACACCAGTGTAAGAAAATAGAACCTATCGTTTGAAAAGTAGCTCCCTTTAGATCTTGTGGTACAGAACATCTTAAACTTTTGCATCATCATAAAGTCCTCACATTCTTGGAAATAAACAGATATAACTATTACACACTGAATTCAAGTTTTATAAGAACGTATCTTCCCTGGTTAGATTATGCAAAGGAGAAATGGAGTTGTTTGAAGTTCCACCGATAAGGATGTGGGGAGGCTGAAATATCTTCTTGCTGTGTGCTCACGATTATTCTAGTCATGCACTGAAATGGAATAACCTTATAAATTATGCAATCTAATGGAATAACAAAGTTTGTAAAAATTCTATGCACTTTTTAAAACGGCTTTTATTTGGAAACTTCGAAAATATGCTTTGACTTGGAAATATTTATTTCTCAATCAAGACGCAGGGTGGCGCTGCAGGCTAAGATTGTGAATAAAGAGCCCTAAAAAGATCGCGTATTATTTTGTATTGCGAGAAGGAATCAAAAGCAAACGCAAGAAGCTTTGCAAGCAGTACGGGGTTACCAATGAGTTTGGGCGGCGATATACTAAACGAATTTCAGATTAAAAACAATTTTGTCACCATCTTCCAAGCAAAATATTAGAATTGAATAGAATTGAAGTCCTTTTGTGGTTGCTGAAGAGATTGGATGTCAGCATCCGGACTCCAACATGGAGAAGCTAGAGAGAATTCATCAAAACAGGCAAGTAATGGCCTTTATTTTGACGGTGTTCTTGTCTCAGGTTTACCCCGAGCCTATTCGTTATTCTGTGCTGGAGGAAACAGAGAGCGGCTCCTTTGTAGCCCACCTCACCAAGGATCTGGGCCTGGGAACTGGGGAACTGGCTGCCCGGTCAGCTCGGGTGGTGTCTGATGATGACAAGCAGCATTTACTGCTGGAGCGTCAGACTGGAAATTTGCTTTTGAGGGAGAAACTAGACCGGGAAGAGCTATGTGGCCCTATTGAACCGTGTGTACTGCACTTCCAAGTGTTCCTGGAAATGCCAGTGCAATTTTTTCAAGGAGAATTATCAATCCAGGACATAAATGACCACTCTCCAGTATTCCCTGATAGTGAAATGCTCTTGAAAATACCAGAAAACAGCCAGCCAGGGACTCTGTTTCCGTTGATATCAGCTCAGGATTTGGATGTGGGCAGCAATGGTCTTCAACACTATACAATCAGCCCCAATTCTCATTTTCACATTCTCACTCGAAATCATAGTGAGGGCAAGAAATACGCAGATTTGGTGCAGGACAAAGCACTGGATCGAGAGGAGCAGGCTGAGTTCAGCTTAACCCTAATGGCGCTGGATGGTGGGTCTCCACCTAGGTCTGGCATGGTCATGGTTCGAATCCTGATAATGGACGTCAATGACAATGCTCCTGAGTTTGTGCACACCTCATATGAGGTGCAGGTTTTGGAAAACTGCCCCATAGACTCTCCATTACTTAGTGTCTTAGCTAGGGATGTAGATGCTGGAAACTTCGGGAGTGTTTCCTATGGCTTTTTCCAAGCATCGGATGAAATCAAACAAACTTTCTCAATAAATAAGGCCACAGGAGAAATCCGACTGAAAAAGAAACTGGACTTCGAAAAAATTAAATCTTATCACATGGAAATTGAGGCTACAGATGGAGGAGGCCTTTCTGGGAAAGGCGCTGTAATCATAGAGGTGGTGGATGTGAACGACAACGCCCCCGAACTTACCATATCTTCCCTCACCAGCTCCATCCCAGAAAACGCTCCTGATACCGTGGTCTCTATCTTCAGAATTCGAGATAGAGATTCTGGAGACAATGGAAAGATGTCTTGCTCTATTCCAGACAACCTGCCATTCATTCTAAACCCAACTTTCAAGAATTTCTACACCCTGGTAACAGAAGGAGCGCTGGACAGAGAAAGCCAAGCTGAGTACAACATCACCATCACCATCACCGACTTGGGCACACCGAGGCTCAAAACCGAGCACAGCATAACCGTGCAGGTGTCCGACGTCAAC